GCTTGCTGCCGTACTTGCGATCGGTGATGACGCGGTCAACTTCCTGATGGCCATCCATAGAAGGGGGGTCCTGCGATCGTCGGCCCGGAAAGTCGTCGCTCTTGGCTGGCGTGTATGTTGCCAGCTTCGAGGCGTGGAAGACCGGATGGGCCGTCAGATGCTCTGGAATGTTGATCACAAATGAAGGGCCATCGGGCTCATCGCCCGCGGCTGCTGTCACAGACCAAGGTCCAAACCACTTKGGAAGCAGTTTGCGTGAAACRTCCTGTTCCMGTGCAAACTCTTCCGCGGAGACCCAAACCAGATCACCGGCGCGGATGGGACATGGTACGCGACGCCTGTTGGCTTGCTGCTGCATGCGAACTTGAGCCTTTTGCATATTTGCGCGGTCTCAGCAAGTCCCTGTACTTCCGAACGGAAGCGGGGGAGCACACGACGTCAATGTCGGCTGGTCGAGGGAGGAGAAGGTCGGCGAAGATGCGGCCTTGCCGTCCACCATGGTGCAACTCGAATGGAGTCACGCCGATCGCCGGGTGCACCGAAGTGTTGTAGGCGAACTCGATGTCGGGGAGGCGGTCAACCCAATCTTTCTGGTCCGGACGAATGAGCGTACGAAGCATCATTTGAGCGGTTTGATGTGCCCGCTCTGTCTGCCCGTCTGTCTGAGGATGTCGAGCCAAACTTGGTTTCATTGTTGTGCCGGACTCCTGCATGAGAGCAGTCCAAAATGCCGACATGAAACGAGTGTCGCGGTCGCTGACAATGTCTTATGATACACCGTGGCCACAAATCCAACCAGTGTGCAGGATGCGTGCCAGCTCGGGAGCCGTGGAGTAGTACTTGCAAGGCAAAAAACGCGCGTACTTACTCAATCGGTCCACAACCGTAAGCATGTCGTCGTGCCCGAGCCGGTCGCGAGGAAACGGACCGGTGACGTCCATGGCAATGGAGAGACCGGGTTCCCGTGGGATAGGCATCGGGTGTAACTCACCGTAGGGATTGAGGTTGCAGGGCTTGCTGCGTCAGCAAACTTCGCAAGAGTCGCAATACCGAGTGACATCGGTAATGAGGTCGGGCCATCGGAATCGCTGTCGAAGCCGTGCAATAGTGCGGTTGACTCCGAAATGGCCGGCGAGTCGTGAATCATGGTACTCGCCGAGGAGGCGAGTCCGAAGACGACAGTCGCGTGGGACACATAGTAAGTCCTTGCCTCTCGAGTGGAGGAGCAAGTACCCGTCGGCAATGCGGTAATGGCTGGCCGGCGGGTGATCCGAAGATAGCTGTGCATAGAGCGTGCCGAAGTCCGGACCAGACTGATATGCCCGGATGAAGTATCGTTGAAGCTCCTCGTCAAATGCGAAGGCATGATGTGTCATAGCGCAAAGATCRGGTCTTCGCGAGAGTGCATCTGCTGTGCGATTTGAGAGGCCGGGCAGATGTTTCGGTGTGAAGTCAAATTGGTCGATGAAGTACATCCATCGTCCGATCGTGCTGCTCACCGTATCCTGCGTCTTGTAGTAAGTCAATGGATTGTTGTTCGTGACCCATGTGAACCTACGACGCCCAAGGAGGAAGTGCCGCCATCGCTTGAGAGCCATGACGAATGCGAGCAGCTCCTTCTTCCTTGCATCATCATGCCAGTTGATGGGAGGCACTTTGTGGCTGAAATACTCCACAGGGTGCCAGTCATCGCCGTCGTGCTGTTCCAAGACTGCCCCAATGCCATAGCCGGAAGCGTCCGTAGTCACTCGTGTTGGCAGGGTGGGGTCATAGATGCTAAGGACGGGTGCCATGCGCATAGCCATCTTAAGTGCTTGGAATGACCGGCGTGCGGCGTCATCGAATATGAATGGCACCTTTGGCGACTGTAACCTCGTCATAGGTGCAGCAATCCTAGAGTATCCCTTGATGAATCGTTGATAGTGGCCCGCCAATCCCATGAATGAACGAACGTCCGTGGTGTTGGTGGGCTCGGGACATACTCGTAGGGCCTCGATCTTGTCCGCAAGCGGACGGATGCCTTGCGGCGTCACATAGTGTCCCAAGTATTCCAGCTCCTGTTGTGCTAACTCGCATTTGTCGCGGTTTGCTTTGTACTTGGCTTGTCGTAGCCGCTCCAAAACGGTGCGCAGGTGTTCCACATGCTCGTCCAAACTCCGACTATACACCAAGATGTCGTCGAGGTAGATGAGTACAGACCGATCCAGCATGTGTCGGAACTCCGTTGTCATAGCCGCTTGGAAAGTAGCTGGGGCATTCGTAAGGCCAAACGGCATGACCAGCCATTCGAAATGCCCATACCGTGTCTTAAACGCGGTCTTGTAGCGATCCTCCTTGCGAATCTCGAGTTGGTGGTACCCTGACTTGAGATCCAGCTTAGAGAAGAACTGGGGGCCGCCCAATCGCTCGAGAAGGTCGTCGATGCGTGGGAGAGGGCCGGTGTTCCCGATCGTCTGCGCGTTGAGCTTGCGATAATCGATGCACAACCGCAGGTCCTTATTCTTCTTCCGGACGAAGAGGACAGGAGCACCGTATGGCGATGAGCTAGGCCGAATCCAGCCTTTCTCTAGAAGATCGTCGAGTTGTGCACGGAGCACACTTAACTCTTCCTCACTCATTCGGTAGATGCAGCCGCGCGGAGGTACGGCCCCGTCCTCTAGGATAATCTCGTGGCGGATGGGCCAATCCGGTACTACTCCGTGCAGGCCTTCGAACACGTCGTTGTAAGCGTCGAGAAGTTCGGTGATGCGTGGATCCGAAGATGAGTCCGTCGATGAAGCGGGAGAGCGTGGAGAAAACACACCCCCATCTCCTCGATGTCGTCTCTAATGATGGATGCTCGCATGCTTGCGGCGGATACCACGTGGCAGCTGATCGAAGGATAAGGAAGAGGTACCGTGCATGGAACTAGTACTCCGTTCCGATCACGAATGTGAACGGTGCGGTGGAAGAAGTTCACCGGGTGATCCTCGCTTCGCAGCCATGACATGCCCAAGATCATGTCAAATTTGGTGTCCAGAATATCAAAGGACACCGCCTCACTTGCGTGAGGGGCAAAGTACACGGGGACGGCGTCAATGCATTGGTCGATGGACTTGTGCGTATGACCGTCTGCCGAAGTGACTTGCGTAGGCTGGGACTTCCTCCGAACACGTGGGCCAAGGTCGGCGCGCACCATGAAGTCCTGGATGATGTAGTTGCGAGATGCTCCGCAATCGATCAAGGCGTTGCAGGTCGCCTCTTCGATCTGAATGCGTACATATAGCAATGGTGCGTCGATGTCGTCGTACCGTTGCGTCTTGAACTCGCGGCCGATCTTCGTAATGCAAGCGTGAAGGTCGACAACCTCTACTCCGGCGTCCATCAACGGAGCTGGTACTGCAGTGTGCAAGTAATCTCGCAGTTGTGCCATGAGCACATTGCAATGCGGTTTCGACAATCGTCCGGTCTGGGGAACGGGCATCCATTGGAAGTCCGTGAACGTCAGTGGGTCGAGCACCGCAAGTCTTGACCACGACGATGAATCCCTGACGATAGATAGCGGCGAAGCTGCCGAATCGATTGTCGATGGTGATGAAACCGTGCATGCGGTAGATTGTTGCACGTGGAGCGGTTGGTCCAGCGGTGGGACCAAGTGGACAGCATAATCCTCGTAAGTGTACCGAGGACTTGCGACATGCGCATCCTCCCCAAATGTGTAGGAGGCCGCTAGCAAGGCGGCCGAATCTGGCGGAGTGAGAGGTGGAGTCGCTTCACCTCCTGCGCAACTTAGTTTCCCGAGTTAAGACGAGGCCGCACATCCTCTTTGGCCTGATCTTGGCAAATGGAGGTCTTGTGCTTGGTGCTGTTGCACCAATAACAGCAGCCGTAACGGTTGCGGTACTTGTACTCGGCCTCGGTCAAGCCGAACTTGACCCATGGTGGTGTTGGCTGTCCGTTTCCGGCCTGCGATGCTGGTTTCGCCTTCCCGTTCACTCGGGGCTTGTTGCTTCGCGGCTGGACAGCAGCCACCTGATCTCCCTCACGTGATGCTGGAGTGGCTGTTGGGTCTTCTCCACTGTCCGATTGGACTACAGCGAACTGCTCCTGTCGCGGACCAGTTCGTTTCTTCTCCACATAGGTTGGCTGCCACGTTGACTTCTCGTGTGCAGCCGCCCTGTTGGTCTTGATGATCTCTCTCGCCTTGTTGATGATCTCTGCGAAAGTGTTGTACTGCTCGCGATCACCCAGTGCGAGGCTGAGAGCAACGCATGACCTGTTGTAGAAATCACGGCGTAGCTGCGGAAATGACAAGTCCAGATCGGGCGTGGCCACGATCTTCTGCCAATCCGTGAGCCAGTCACGTGTCGGTGTGCTCCCTTGAGCCATCGCGAAGATGCGGCTGACCGTGTCCTGCACTATGAACCGCTTCTTCCATTCCTTTGTCATATCCTCCCAGGTGACCTTCTGCAGGTCTGAAACCTGGACGCCGTGGATGGTTGCCATGTGGCTGAGCCAGATCTGACATCCTCCCTTGGTGTTGATGAACAGAGCACTGATGAACAGATGGTCAGGGACCTCGTGGATCCCCAACTCCGTTGTAAATCCTTGCCACCAGACGACCAGATCTTGATGTGTGTAGTCATCAAATTTCTCGATCCGGAACGTCGGCATCTTGTATGGCCTCGCTCAGCTGTTGTTGTGGCTGTGGTCGGTCTGCTGTTGATGACTGATCTTGGTGTCCAGCAACTCGAACCGCTGGCTGATGGTGGCCGGCTTTGTGAAGGCACTTATGTCTCCTAGCATTGCCACTGCATGGTCAACGCGTTCCTCCAGTTGGCGGCTAGAGGATGCACTGCTGGAAGCCCCAGCAACTGCTCCTGGTACAGCCTGTTCCAGGTCCAGTACACGGGCGTCCAGTGCCCGTGTGGCATCCTCATGCTGAGTCTTATGGTTCCGCACAGCCCGCTGAAGGTTTGCCAGCTCGGACTGCAGGTGGTTACATGTGTAAACCAGCCTGGCCACAAGCTTGGCGAAGAACTCCTTATGCTGCTCTTCCGGTGTTGGCTCGTCGCCGTTCGGTTCAAAGTGCCAGTACTTGAGTCTGTCGATGCTGTTGGCTTCGTGCCACAGCAGCAGATCATGGGCTTCCTTTCGGCGAGCCTGGGTATCTGCGTCTGCTTCGGCCTGTAGCCGCAGCTTCTCTGCTGTTGCCGCTTCTTCAGCCTGTAGCTGGGCAGCCTTGGCTGCCAGCTGGCGTTGTTCCTCAGCCTTGATTGCAACGAGCTGAGCCTGGAAACGCTTTTCGTAGTCGGCAATGGACTCGTTGGCCAGTTGGCCTGGCATGCCCAGAGCTGCGCCCGTCATGGTGGCGGGGCACTGCTGACGTAGCACTGTGTTTGACGTGGCACTGCTGATGTGGCACTGTCTGACGTGGCACTGCTGACGTGGCACTGCTTATGTGGCACTGCTGACGTGGCATTGTGTCTGACGTGTCATTGTTGATGTGGTACTGTTGACGTGTCACTGTACCAACCCGGAAAATGCATGCAAAGGGTGGGTGGGAGGGAACACGCAGGTAGGAAACCAACCCAACAATACTTTCCTCCGGCCCTAATCAACAAATAAAATAAAATAAGAACATAAAAGAGGACTACTTCCTTTTTTTTTTTTTTTTT